GATTTCTCTATCTAAATTCTTACATTCATTTATTCATGAAATATCCGCAAATATTTTATTTGACTGATTTGAAATGTTTCAAAGGCCTGGCATTTTGCTCTTTCGCAATCATGCAGTGGTTATAGTACGACGTGAATTGAAACAAATATTTCGTCTTGGTTCAATAGCTACCGATATTTGCCTTTGTTTAGGGTCAAAAGCACCTAATTATTTCGTTTCCGGGTGATAAGGGTCTTATATACTTTCCGTATTGACCATGGCTTATACATATTTCAAATTAAAAAAAAGAGACCTTTCCTTCCTTCCTTTGCACAGATTCACATCGTGATTCTGTTCCCTTACTTTGCTGAGTTTGTTTCAGTGTGTTTTACAATCATCGGAAATGTTAACATTCCTAATGAATAAATATTTAATGCTTCTTTAAAGCGAATAATAATTCTGGACCCAAAATGCGGCAAACATATTTTACATTTTGTGTTAAGAGAGTTCAAAGATTGTTTGAGTCTTTTATCAACAAGTTCCAGAAAGGCAAATACAAGGTCCCCCTTCTCAAGAAGTCATTGATTCTCAAGCTTTGACTTCTCCATGAAATACAATCACACTTTTGTATGAGCAGAAATAAACATCTGATTGCTGTGGTTTTTATTTTTATGTTGGGCCACAAATTTAAGGATTAATTCAATATACTGACCCATGGCCACCAAAAACTGCTCGAATTGTTTCCAATAAGATTCGTTTTTATTACGAAGGTATCGGTGAAACCTTTCCGCCTTCAGTCGAACGCGAGTTAACTTTTGAATGTTGGGGGGAAATCATTTAGTGCTAAATAATCCCTTGGCGAAAATGATTTCATGCTGAAAGTTCTACATACAGTTCATCGTTAACAATAGATTTAATGCTAGGAAACATAACTGTAAAAAAATTTCGCTCTGCTTTTGTGGAGTGTCGATATTGCTTTTGTAAAAGCAGCCAAGAAACAAAATTACCATCGAAAGAAACTTTGCAACCGGCCGACCATTCAGTATTGAGATCGAGAAACAAACTGTTCATTTACAAGTAGGCTTTTTAATCTACAAACATGTTCATTTGAACGAACCGAAGCAAAAGCTTCAACTGACCATCATTCAAAACTTTTACTGTCCCTCCTATCTCCCCCACTGAGATAATCTTCGACATATATTGTCGCTTAAAAAAATATCCATCCCTCGGCTATGATATTTAAAAATCTCAGATTTACACTCACCAAAACATATGTGGATTGGCTTCAGTCAGACACACATTTACGCCTTCTCCGTCGGTGTTCTGGGATTAAAGAATCTTTGCTCCGGTATAATACCTTAAACTGCCTCAACAACTACGCAATTAGTTAACTGCGAGGCAAACAAATTTATTGAAAGGGCCTCATGAATAAAATACTAATATCAATTACTTCTTCATTTAATCCTGCTAATCGCTGATTGTCTCGTGGAAAACCATCGAAGTGGCACGTCTGAAAAAAGCTGCCCAATATAATACTTGCATTCATGAGCTGTTAAGAGTACTTTAGAACTTCAAAACTGTTCATGCTTTTCTAACACGTCCCATTGTCTTGAAAGAATGAAATAGAAAGCTTTGGGTTTGATTGGTCTGGAATAAACAAAAACTATTGCCGGAACCCATTTGTTGTATTTGTTTGACATATGTCGATGTCAGTTATTTCGTTGTGAAAAACCTTTCAGAATTAACATTTGCTGACAATCAACTTATCAAGTTGTTAAAACGAAATTACATCGCTATAAAGCGGTTAGATCAAAACTGTCTCTGCATTTCTTAGACGTGCGGGGCTAAACGTCAAAAGTAAAATCAGGAATTAATGCTGTTTCTGACCTCTAAAAAAAATTGAGCGCCAGTTGACCCTGAAATAAACAATTTGTTTTGTAACTACAGCCATGAAATCGTTTATTAAAACAAAACATCGTACATAAAAAGTCATTTCATTCCGAAGAATCAATTAACCTTCTTTTTTTTTTTTAACCTGGTAGCTTTCGTGAGAGAAACCAAGCATATATATTTAACGACCGAAAACAATTAGAGATCTTTTAACTCTGTAATAGTGCTACACCTGCCAAAACTAAAAAAAAACTCAGCGGTTTTTTTTCAGTTCTCTAGGTGAGTTCTAGGAATTCTTTTTTTTGTCAGTTTTACATAGAGAGAATTAAAAAAAAAAAAACGCATCGACTGAATGACATTTCAATCGCGAGTGAGATTTCAGTTGATTTTGCTAAAGACAGTTATCGTCGCAAAGCCAACACCTTGAGGTCGATTTCAAAAATTTCATATGCAAAGTAGTTCATGGAAGGGAAGTCTCGCATAATACAGTAAATTGAAAATTATTAATTCAAACCACCCTAAGCGGGAAATACAGGAAAAAAGCGTTCATTATTTTTTCTTGCCTACAGCATCCTGTATAAATTGTATTTCTTGAAATCAATTAATCGTCTGTGCTGCTAAATTGCGCTTT